ACTATCGGAGACACTTTTACCAAAGCTCTGTTTTCCCCCACAAACCTGAACCTTGATTAGTTAACAATAGCTCTTTTATACTGAGGTTTACAGAACATCTTTATCAAATGTATACACATTTATTTATACATGCACAGTTAAATATGCAAAATTATTTCTCAGTTTTTTTGTATATCTTTTGCCCTACCAGTAAATATTACCCTTTTGCGTCTGATATTTTTTGCTGTCCATCATGGTTCTTGCAGTGTTATAGGTATTGCAGTGCTAAATCAGTGCACAGTTCTTTTTAAACCCATGTCACATAGTAAATCCATGCAATTGCCGTCTTGTCTTTCCAGGTGGCATTAGTGGTTTCTCCAACAATATTATTAGCTACTGTCTATTTTCATCACAGCTGAAGGTGAGCCCGAATGTGCTGCAGAGAAGCCAGATGTTATGTTCACGGTGTCTGATGGGGAGTCACTGAATTCATGTTTTTTTGAATAATGTCAGCTAATAAGATAAGAGAATGTAGCTACTTTCACTTTACTGTCATTTGTCAGAACTGAACCTCACCACAGGAAAAAAAATGGACTGACACTGCACAAAATTTTGCTTCATCGTCCACATGACAGACGTTACAGAAACAGGGTCAAGCCTTTTTTGAGCTGGACCCTTGTGGGTTGTAGTTCAGCCGCCTGTGTCACAGAGGAAGACTCAGTTATAGCACAGATATTGCTAAATTGTCTGTTCCACAATATTGACATAATGCTCTGATCATTTCTAGGTGTGAAAGTGGTTTTGCGATGCTCCCTTTCCATAGGACCTATTAATCTAAAAGAATACTGACACTGACCTCTGTAATATGTTAAAACTTAAAATACACATACACAATGTACATACTACATCTTTAAAGGGAGAGTAACGTTTTTGTATATGGCTTTGCTACAGCAGTGAGTAATAATAGCTGCAGCCCTAAGTGCAGCAGTGAATTAAAAGCAGCAGTAAATACAAGAGAGTACACAGGTTGACCTCAGTGTCACTGTTGTCACTGTATCGCATCACAAAATCCATCCAGGGAAAGACGGGTAAAGAGGCCAGAAACAGGCCAAATCCCATTTGTTTAAAAGCCAGTGGCTGATGGAATAATAATTTTTTTAAAAAAGCTTGTTTTATATCAGAGAGAAAAGGCATTACGAAACAGACACTATTAATAACAGTCACTTAAACAGAGGGTCAAATAGGGCAAGTGTTAAAGAACAAGATATGATGATGTATGACCTTATGCCACTTTGAGGAAGATGAAACCTCCAGGTCGAAAGGAATTAAAGTCACTGCATAAAGCAGCGGTGGAGAACCTTTTTCCTGTCAAGGACCACTTCAAGTGTAATATCCTTCGCGGGCGATACAACATTATTGAACACATATATCACACTAACCTCTCAAATGTGATGAACGTCTTCCTTTTTGGTGGTGGGTCAGGTGGTAGTGATGATGATGCTGCCAGTTGCCTTTAGCGAAAACAAGTTGCTTACAAATCCTCTCCTTTGGTAAAGACATTCTTGGCTTTCAAAGACAGTACCCTCAGTACAGTACCTCCCTTAGTTTTTTATACCTTATGCCATAGCAGTGATTTTCTTGATAGTTCTCAGTGACAAACTAACACTTCTAGCAGCTCTGCAGAAGCAACAAGGCTCCTTCACAAATTCACCTTTTAAATGATGCTCCACTTCCTTGGCAGTTTGCTCACCAGAAAACCAATATTATAATACTGTCTCTGACAGAATGGGGTCTTGTGAAGGCCACTTGTCGGACACCAGAGACCCAGCAAAGAGTGTTCAACTCTATCCAGGTGTCTTTATCCTTGCAGCACAAACAGTTATCGCTTAATGTTTCTTGCTGTAATGATGCCGATTTTTCATCACTGTGACCACATCCTTGCAAACTAGACACACTGGCTTATCTTTTACGCCAACAACAAAATAATTGTCTATTTCTTTTGGACACAACATTCCACTTTCTTTTCCTGACAGTCCCCATGATGCTTGTCAGCGATGAAGTAACTGCTATGTCTGTGTTTCATTCATGACCTGACAGGCATATAGCCAGATGGCACCACCCCGGAGGACATGTTAGTGTACTGTTTTATGTTTTTGTATTCCTGAGTTTCTTTTTTTTTTTTTTTTGGCCCAGAAATTTGGTTCATTTATATTCCCTTCTGGATGAACTCAGAATTCTGATGATTTTCTGTCATCGAGCGCTGATGTAACACTAAGTCATCAGCAATCATCCCTACTTTTGAGATGAAGAGGTAACATACCGTAAATGAGAGGTATAATATTCCATTGCATAGAATGAAGATGTCTTAGCTGTGTTGTAGCACAGTTTCGAAAATTTCTACACAGAATATTAAAACTGAAATGCTTTGTTGTCCTCCGTGATATCATAGTTTCTTGCAACTAGAGTGATCCTAGTCAATCCAAACAATTACTCTTGTCTCTTAGGTTACAGTGGTCACTGGGCAGCTGTTCTTTTTCCTAAACTAAAGTGTGGGTCCAAACCCATAAACCCATGCAATGAAATGGGAGAAAGTCTTTTATCCTCCTCTATTGGTTCACTTCTAACGTTTGTTTTTATAGCTTTTGTTGGCTGCTCTGACAAGAGAATGGCTTTGGCTGGTGCGTCGAGTGCAAAACATTTCTGGGTTGCTCAGTGCACATTCTGAACAACAGAGAGGTAATTAGGTCATTTGGTGTCATCCTAGTTTGTGTGTTTGAAAGGAGCCACGGTCCCAGAAAAGATTGCTGTTGTTTTTTAAGGGCTCTATTGCTGCTGCTCCTCCATTCTTTAAATCACACCAGCTTTATTGGGAACAAAAACACTTCCATGTGTTTCTTCTTTGGTGGACTGTCAGAGTGCGTTCACCTTCAGGCTTTTTAACACTTGTTGTGAAGGTAGAAAGTGTCTTTTGTCAGATGCAGATTTAATGAACATGTAGTGCTTTGACAAACATAGAGAGAGACACAATGAGAGATGCTCACAGAGAAAACAAATTCCGAACTGCAGCCAAGCTCAGTTTCAGTGGCATTTACGATAAATGCATGTTTCTTATGGAAACTTCCTCCACCTCAGAACCGAGTGTGAATGTGCAAAGACCTAACCACACCTTGCTGGGGGATGTGCTACATCATGTTGTCATATCCACCAGGGAATATGAATATGAGAGAGGGTCGTATCTTCCTGTTAACTCTTTCCTGTTTAATGGAAAGAACTTTGGATTCAAAAAGGTTTTATGTTCTGCTCTGCTCATGTTTTTACTGTATGGCATTGAACTAGTCACATTGCTTTGCATAGGTTTTTTTTCACATTAACATGTAATGCTTTGAAACATCAGTATGAGTAAATTAATTGAACGCCCCCACACACAGTAGGAAGTTGACAGATTGGAGTAAAGAGAGACCACAGGACAGCTTCACTGAGATATGCAATTAAAGTAATTGCATACTCCCCAACACAACATTTTTTACAGATAAATGCATGTTTGGTATTCTGAAGAATATTATAAAACACAGTACCTGTCTTAATGCATCCTGCAGTTTCAATTGTGATGTTTGTTGCTTTGCAAATGTGTCTCAGAAATTCAGATTTAGCATCACTTCTTGAGCAGATCTCAGTGTGTTAAAGGAGTTTTAGTTATTAATTCATGTTTTGAACAGCTGGACATAGAGAAGCAGCTGGATTTTGAGACTGAGAAGTATTTTTCATCACCTGATTTTATGCAAGCTGCATTGAAATGTTCCAAAACGCTGTGTGATTGCATTCAAAATAAGTGTTAGATTCTGTTTATGTGGTAAAAGGGATTTGGAGGAAGATTTAACTAAAATAATCAAGGCTCATGTTATCTCCTATGTGACAGATGCTAAGGGGTTTTTTATGATTTGTGGGAAAGCTTGATTAAATGTTCAAATTTGTAAACCAAAGGGGCCGCTGTATATTTTGTGATTGAATTAAAAACAGACAAATATTAGTCCTGACTCTTGTTAAAAACTGGTTAGATTTATTAATCAAAATTACATATCGTGAGATTGTTATTTAAGAAAAGTCTGAATTATATCAGATAATGGAATTAATTCATGTTTTATCCGACACACATTTAAACAGGTTTCCTTGTGTTCCTGGATTGTATGCAGATAATGTTTTTGAGAGAATAAAGACAATAAGGTTATGATTGAGATGTAAATAAATGTATTAACAATCTTCTTGTTTTTCCTAATCTATATTTCATCAAAATAGAAAAGTCACTTGGATATCATGAGCATAATAATTATCTTGTATGCGTCAACCTATGTTCAGAATCAGTGGATCAAGTTTCTTTCTGATCTTTTGTGTTATGTTATTCTCATGTTGAACAGATGAGTACCTTGATCAAAAGCTACTTCTCACCCTCCCTGTGACCCTGTGGGCTTGAAATTGATGTCAGGATGGAAAATTCATAACGTGAACCATAATATTCCCAATATTTCTTCAAAGTCAAGAAACTTTTACTACAAAGTGTGACAGCAGCTCATATTTATTTTAGATTGTGTGCCAGGACTTCATTAAAACTATGGCACAGTACACTTTTTGACACAATCATGGCTGCGTCATTGAATGAAATGGAAAGAAATATTTTATTTTTACGAGCTTGTTTCATTTTATGCCCACTCTACCTGACACATTTGCAAAGGTGGGTTGATGAATAGAATTTTTAAATGAAGGTTTCATGCAGACTGTAGTGTTGTCTGCCCATGAGTCTGTAATAATGGGCCTGTTGAAGGATAAAGATGTGCAGGTCAGATTCGACTGTCTCTCCCTGCACTATATTTTAGAAAAGGGTTTTTTTCTCTTGTTGAAGCAGAGTGAAGTGAAGCCTTAATGTTGCTTTAATGAACTGTTTTCTTAGTCACCACTGTCTGACTCTCTCTTTTCTTAGAAAATGCTTGTTTAAGGCTCTAACCTTGTTCTCTCTCTGTGTCTTTCAGTTGTCCCTTGGTGATGAACAGTGTGAAGTGACAAGGAACGGCTATGACTCTAAGGAGCTGGTGTATTTAGTTCATATTTACTGCCAGGTAAGACAGCGGACCCACTGCATTTGATGGTGCAGTCATACCAGAATGCAGATACATACCCAACCACCCACATGCATGTGTATACTTAAGTGTAATTATATATGCACTCCCATTTAGGCTCCACTTTACTGAAAAACACCCACACATTTGTAAAATTGTTGTTTTGCTTTTAACTTTCTCTTAAAAACTTGTCCAAAGTGATTTTTAACCCACGAGTTATGTGTCAGTACAACCTGTGCACATATGTAGCGTTCCTCCCTGTGAGCAGATCTGCGGCTCAAATTCAGACATTGCTGAAACACCTAACTTATTGTTTCAAACATCCAAGTTATGTGGGAATTTGGATCTGGATTGAAAAGATTTGTGGATGTGTGCCAGGATTGGTGAGCGATACAGAAAAATGTCGGATAGAAAGTGCTTAAAGGGATAGTTCCCCGAAAATGTTTAATTCAGTCATTATGCAATCACCACTATGGAGGTGGATGTGTGTGAGTGGTGGGTGTGGGCGTTTGCATGGCTACATCCGGTAGTAGACTTTTAGACTTAAAACACAGTGCAAATGACGCAGATTTGAGCAAAATATGAATGTTGGGGCTTGTGGACACACACAACACGAGCAGTATGGAGGCATGTTCTGTTTTTTTTTTCCTGTCGTTTTATTACGTCTCAAGAAGGGGTCACTTTGGCAGCAACACTGTTTTCCCCTGAGAACCCTAAAGGGTTTTGTGGACTCAAAGACCTCACCCTCGTCCATTGGCATAGTTGTGAGTAGATAATGAGGTAATTTTTCAGTGAACTATACCTTTAAGTCTGTGACTTCCTCACAGAGCTTGTCAAAGTGGAAAAAGTTGGCTTAGTTGTCCTCAAAATTCCTTTTGAAGGAGGGATGTAAGATAGCTAAATTATTTATGATTACATCATATACAAAGTTTTTGATTTACCCAAATTTGGGCAAAACCTTTAAGTAGAACACACACTTGAGCATGGATGCTCAGAAGCTTTGCCCCGTTCTCCTCCAGTGACATTTTGGATTCTAGTTTCTTGCATATCCCTCTACAGATCATACTCCGTATGCACAACCTTGGCAGTGCCACACAAGTATGCAACTGTGCACTTGGAAATTCCAACTCCTCACAGCCATCGGAAAACTGCTACATCTACACCCGTTCTATTTGGAAAAGAACTGGCTAAGAGTTGTCCTTGAGCTTTGCGCTTAGAGCTTTAAACCGAGAAAGTAGCACAGCACGGGGAGACTGCTTCAGCTCCACAAACCCAGAGAAGGGGGGTTGACTAGAAGCACCATCTGAAAGTGGGACAGGAAACCATAAAGACTTCCCCAAGCCCACAGAGCCCTTCCAGCGGCGTCTCTCCCAGCCAGCACTTTTCAAACAGCACTAGAATCAGTGGGCTGAGTGGTGCATTGCAGTCCCAGTCGCACAAGCCCTGGCCTCTGTACAGACAAATCTTTCCAGGCCAAATCAAAGCGAAGACTTTTTCCACCACGAGTCTCAGTCAGTGGGGTTTTGGGGTTTGGAGCCCTTTTTCACTGGATGAAAAAGAAACAACAAATCCATGGAATCACTCTTGGATTTTTTTTTTTTTCTAAAAAAGCAAAGCTACATTTTATGTGGTAGCTTGAGGGCAAAAATCTCTTGGTTTGCACTTGCACTGTTGGCATGTAATCACTGCATTTCACTAGGAAGGGCTGAGTAAGCCACACATGTCCGATATCAAAGTATACAAGCCCATGGCAGACTTGACTCCTACTTTATTTTTCAGTTGTTGAGACACTGCCGTTGTATTAGAGACATTAAAAGATAAGAGTCTGTGGGGACAAAAATACAGATAGAACCAGAGACAAAGCACAGCAGTGAGGGTTGAGAAAGATTTCAGTGAGACTGTGTGTGTGCTGACAGGGGCCTAAGGCTTTTTATTGATTTGATCATTATCCGCAAAGTTAAACCAAATCAATAAAATCAGGTTTATTGTCGTTACGCAGAATGAGAAAATGTCTCAGAGACCAGGATGCAAAACATTAAGCAGGGCCTACATATTTATATATATAATTAATATATATAAACATTCTACTACTTACTACATTTTACTATCATACTAACATTTTATATAAGACACTTCCTTAATTACACATACCTATGATTTACCAGTTTTGGTTTCAAACAATTATTGAAATGTCCACAGAACTATTTACAAAAATAATAATAGAATAAATTTGGAGTTACTATGAGTATTACAGCTCTATTGAAAACTAAGGGGCCACATGCGCCGTTAATTCAATGTAAAATAGCCATAAACTGGCAAAAGTCCGAACTGTATTTTTCGCCAGCACTGATAATTGTATCTCTTGAGTCAGGACGATGGTATATTGCTGTATTCATATTTTGTCCCACCCCTGGGGAATTAAAGTGTGAATTAAATGAATGAAAGTGTCCAGTATAGGAAACTAGAAATAAAATAAGAGTTAATAAAGTCTTCATGTAGTTATATAGCCAGTAACAGTGAGATGGATCAGCTATTAAGCAGCCTGATAACCTGTGGGAGGAAGCTGAAATAGAGTCCTGCGGTTTTAATATATAATACTACACTACATCCTGCTTAATGGCAGGGTATTGAAGAATTAATACTTGAGGGGTCTCTGAAAATGTTCGAGGCCTTGTGAAGACATTGGCTCTGATGAAGTTCTTGTGCAAAATGTAGGGAGATGGTCTCCTCCGCTCCTCCGATGACCCTCTGTAGTGTCACTGCAGCTGGAGAACCTGGTGGTGCAACAGCCCACGCTCAACTGTGCACCTTTAAAAGCTTGTTGGAATATTGAAGCGGAGCGTTTTCTTGCCTCAGTGCTTCACATATCTGCTGGGCCAAAGTGTTTTTCAATTTCTCATAATTGAAAAGTTACTTCACTTGTGACTGAACCACCTTGGTTCCCACCCATCAGTATTCTATTAAGAAGGAACTACTGGCAGCTATGGCGGTTTCATAGGTGTCACACCAAAATCAGCGAGTATATACTGTTTTAAATGTAGACCTGTAAACCTGCTTAAAATGGCCAGTAGAGGAGTCTGCCTTCTGTTTTCCCCCCCAGTGTGTCATATTAAACCTTCGCTCACCTTGCTATCTTGCCAAATTAGAGCATTCATCTATTGTCATGTGTCCATCACTGCTGTTCCGAGCTGGAGCAGTTTTAAACCTGTGTCTACTGCAGTCATTTGATGCAGGAGTAAATGATGATTGAATTTATTCCCATTGCAGACGAAAGCCTGATGTTAGTGGGTTTTTTGACCAGTGGAAAAGTGGCTTTATTAGTTAAGAACAATGCCGGCTCCTAAGGAGGTTAGCGTGGATGCTGCTATAGTTATCAGTTTCAGCAGATCTGGAGAATTTTGCCTCATTGAACGAAGAGAAAAGAACGACAGTGAAACCTTTTCTCTCATGGAAAAATGTCCCTCCTTACCCGACTGGCTCCAGCAACTGAGACAGGCTGGTTCCTGCTCTTTCCCAAATACTTTCCAATGCGACCTCCCAGTTGGTTCAGTGTAACGAACCACTTGGTGTGTCAGGTTATGTGCCGGATACACATTCTCCCCGATCTGTGCTTAAATTGTGATCTTCTGAAGTTGTCGATCATCTCAGTGTTGTTGATGCTTATCATCAGACTATCGAGATGTTTCCACAGTTCTACTGTGGCACCACGCACAAATTGGTTTGCAGTATATCAGGCTGAACAGTCGCATGTTAGCAGAGTAAACAGCAGTGAGCTGAGCAAACAGGCTTGTGTGAGTTCCAGTGCTCAGCGTGATGTGATGCTGCCAACACGAACTGACTGCGGTCTGTCAGTCAGGAAATCCAGAATCCAGCAACAGGTAGGGGAATTAAGGGCAAGCAGGGAGCGTTTCTCCACTAGTCTCTGTGGGATAATAGCAGGCTATTGAAAGCTGAACTGAAATCTATGTACAGCGTTCTAGCGTTGGTGGCTTTGTTGGCCAGGTGAGTCAGTGCTGTGTGCAGTGTGGAGGATATTGTTTCCTCTGTAGGTCAGTTAGGGCTGTAAGCAAATTGGAATTAATCTGGTGGTATTTTTTCTTTGATTATTGGGTCAACAACAACTTTACGTAAATCAGCAATCAGAAGTGGTAATTTGAAGATTTGAGGAAAATCAGTTCTGGTCGGTCTTCTCAACTTCCTCGTAACAAGCAGTCTGCTTGTTATGAGCCTATTGTCGGTTGGTTACACACCAAGTGGCTGGTAGAAATTTCTCTCCATGTAGCTTTACCCCAGTTTTATCATCATTAAAATATGGGAACAATCAGCATTTGAAGTAATTAAACCCGCAGAAAGTGAATTTTGAAACCGTTCAGGGCAGCAGAAAAAAGATGTAAACACATTAGACTTTAGAGTGGATGTGTTGAACTTTTAAATTTACATTATTTAGTTTTGTGTGATTTTATATGTCTAGGCATCTGCAGATTGCACATTAGAAAACATAGACACTTACTGACAAACCATAAACGATCAGCTTAGCTGTAGTTGAATGAAAATATCGCTCACATTCAGCTCTTTAATCGACCAGTGTGTTCGGTCTTTGTCTCCTCGCTGGTTAAGCTCACAGTTTTTGCCGTTGTTCTGAAGGGTCGAAGCTGGATTGTGAAGCGCAGCTATGAGGATTTCCGTGTCCTGGACAAGCATCTACATCTCTGCATCTATGACCGACGCTTCTCACAGCTGCCTGAGCTGCCTCGATTGGACAGTCTGACTGATCAGTCAGAGGTAAGCACTGAAAACACAGCTATACACACACACACACACACCCACACACACGTTAAATGCAAACTGAAGCTTCCAGGCCTGTGAGCGAAATCCAATACAAAACTTGAATAGATATGAAACTTTAACAGACTTCCAACTTGATATAAACCCTGACCGCAGGTATAGGCTTGTTCAAAGATGTTTCGTTTTCAACATTATTGTTTCTTTTTAGGTTCGGGGAAACCTTACTTTGATTAAATCTCACTCAGTGTGATCAACAGGGCTTATTTCTCAGGAATGCACCATTTGATATTTTGCCAGTTTTTTCCTTTTCAGTCTGCCTGTGAAAGGTTTTTCTGACCCAGATGTAACCTAAGCTAGAGCTATCTCATCTAACTGGTAAAACCAGTTCATTACTGAGTGTGTGTGTGCTTGTGTGTGTGCATGCATGTGTGTGTAGCTGCCCATAGTACACCATTTTACTTTCACCAGCACCTGGATTTATATGCGTCACTGTTCGATCTACGTTTCAGATTAGACATTTAATTGAAAGTGACGCAACCTCAGATTTAGACAAGAACAACATCAAAGTTCTTCTGCTCAGTAACACTTCAGTGTCAGCATTAGCTTAAATATGCAGTTGTGTGGCACCACAACCTGTAAAACAAAATTTCCCCTATAATGTGAAGTCATCACCACAAACATAATTTCAAGTGGTCTACTGCCACGTAAAACTCTTTAGTTGCCTAATTATCTGCATTTGTCCACAAACAAAAACTCATGACAGAAGGAACTACTACCAAATCTTGAACTAAAACAACAGCAAGGTTTATTTACAGTGCATTAGTAGTGGAAGTATTAAATGGTTGATAGAATAATGCTATAATAAGAGATATTAAATCTTAACTCAGTTTCATGACTAACTGGCATGTGTGTGTGTTTTGTTCCATGTTAGTCAGTTTCCCAGATGTTGTTAGCGTACCTCTCCCGGCTCTCAGCCATTGCTGACAACAAGATCAACTGTGGGCCTGCCCTCACATGGATGGAGGTAAGGCTGCATGTCTGCTGGGTTTGAGTAGGACACTGACTCTGAAGATGCTTTAATGGGGGGGATCTGAAAGCTTGTTTGTCTGTGGTATCACTTAATAGTTTTACCATACAGATAAAACAGACATTAGAAGAAAATAATGTGCAAAAGAAATAACAGTGTAGTCTTTTCTCGTGAAAGAACAGCTGCGTGAATATTCTCAAACAGTGCAGAGTTACGCATCAAAGAGAAATGTCAGAAAATGCTGATGTCATATTGTAAATTGCAAAACTTGCAACCTAAAACACTTTACGACAAAAGATTAACATCAGTATCTGTTAGTTACAGGTTACAATAATGCTATAGTGTTACTCTAGAATCAACAGAAGCCTATAGTAGATAATGTCATTATTTCTGCACCATATCACCTTTGAAGTCGTTATTCTGTATAAATACCTAGAGAAGCTGAAGGGAAAGAATTTTACTGAATCTATTTTTCAGTAAAAAAAGAAAAGAAATCCTGCAGGTGCTCCATTCAGCACGTTTGTTTTCCAATTTGGACACATTTTCTGACCATTTTTAACCCTCTTTGCAAACATATATAGCAGCAACCCACTCTAATTAACTGAACACAGCACACATATTTATACAAAGTCTTACATCAATCAGTAGTTCAACAATGATGTGATTTGTGTGTGTGAGTCATCCTGAGCTGGTGTTTATCACTGTCTTGTTTGACAGGATAAACACAGGTTGACTTTGTGTTTATTACCTGGAGTCATTCATATATTCATTTAACAGCACTTAAAACAGCCACTGAAAGGACTGCTGAGTTTATGCTCATTATGCTCATATATATCTTACAGCCTCAATAAAACCAGAATATCATGCACATTATTCACTAACATAGCCTTTTAATTGCAGGATGATTATGCAAATTCATTCTCTTGTCACTGTTCTGTATTTTGTTGTACCTTCATCATAATGTGCCAGTCTGCCACTGTTGTAATGACTTGTGAGTCCTGTCTGTGTATGACAAGGTTGACAATAAGGGGAATCATCTGTTGGTCCATGAAGAGTCGTCCATCAACGTGCCAGCTATTGCTGCCGCCCACGTCATCAAGCGGTACATCGCTCAGGCCTCAGACGAGCTGTCCTTCGAGGTGACAATCGCAACCTGCTCTGTATTCTGAGAGTTCATTAGAATTCCTCACGTGTTTCCTCATCTGTTGCTTGCTATATTACGTTTTTTAATCATTGAACTTGATGAGACAATAAGACACAAAAGTAGAAAAAGAACAGAAGGGCCCATAAAGCTGTCTTTTCTGGAACAAATGTTCACAAGCAAAATCCAAAGCTGTGCAGGTAGAAGTTTTTTAATCATTGTCTGGAAAAACCCCATTGCTCCCAACAGTCCTGACTTTTTTACCAAGCACTGGGAAAATCAGACACATCTTTAATCTTATATCTCCCCCCTCTCTGTTGCTCTCTGCAGGTTGGCGACATCGTGTCAGTTATTGACATGCCTCCTAAAGAAGACACCACATGGTGGAGGGGCAAGCATGGCTTTCAGGTAGGCAGCTCACAAAACCCCTCTGCAGTTTGATACAAGAAACACACATTTTCTCTCTCTCTCTCTCTCTTTCTCCTCTGGCTGTAAACTTTTGATCAGGCTGTACTCGAGGTATTTCAAGGGCTAAGAGAGGGAGCGCTGCTTTGTGAAGCAGTTTTCAAAGGCTCTGGGTTTGCCGAGAGTCTGAGCAAGATACAGATTCTCTTGTGAAGCTTTTGAGCAGATTACAGGGTGTGGGACTCCCCCTGTAACGCTGGAACTTTTTCATATCCCCTTCAGTGCCATACTGTGACATTATGAAACATTCCCACTAAATTCTCAGTTTCTGCTCTCAAGTCTGACATTTTTGTTTCTGATATTCTCCATTTCCAATTCTTTCATAGCCGACTGAACTTTTAAATTCACAGTCTACAGTATATTACAATAATTTTGAAACAGAGGTTAATAAAAATTGAGTTAAACAGTGTAAATGTTATATATATGTGTGTGTGTGTGTGTGTGTGTGTGTGTGTGTGTGTGTGTGTGTGTGTGTGTGTGTGTAAGCTTCACCAAAACAAATGTGTCCAAAATAATATGAGCCAGATTTACTAAGCGGGCACTTGGAAAGAAAACAGCTCAGCATTAAAACAACACAGGGAGCTGCACTGTGTTGTTTAAGGTACCTGTGAGCCAATGAAATACGAAGCTGAAAGTCTAGTTGGGGAGACAGATTAATGCTTTTAGAGGCTTATCACATGCCAGAACACTGCACAGAGGTTTATAATACTGACAGAAAGGATTTTACAACTCTGAAAGGCTGCAACAATTTTATCGTCATTCATAGTGATCATGAGGTAAATAGTAGAAAAACTATGAGTCAGCATTCAGGTTTTTTTTACTGTATGACCCCATTTTTTTCATTTTTGCATTGACACTCCAGCTGCAACACCATACCCTTAATACACCCACCATACACATTAATGAGAGGATCACATTTATTTGCTGAGATAACAAACTTGGAGCAATTCAAAAAGTGCAGAATATGACAATATCTTCCTGTAACCGCAAGTGTTGATGAGGTGTTATGGTTTGTGTGCATTTAAGGAACATTTTCTTAAAACAGCCCACAATGGATGGTAAAATTGCATTTGCTTGTTGTAATCATCCTCCTGTTTATACAAGTCAAGTCAAAAGGATACCGTCCAAAATAACTATATTTTTAGTACATAAATTCATTGTTTTATTATCCTAAAGCCACAGCAGCTCAATATGGAAACAAATTCTGAGAGGACAGAGGGAATTCTGTGATAAAAATGTTTTTATGAACACTTAGATCAGTCCTGTTGGGCCCCTGTCTTTTTGTTTGTTTTGAGTCCTAGTACATTTGTCATTGTAGTATTTTACTTTTAAGAGGGATATTTTGTCACATAAAAACAGTATCAGCTGGATTGGGACCAAAATAGTCACAGTTTCCTACATAATATATTTTTTCCTGAGCCAGATGATCTCAGACAAATCTCAGGCATCCTGGGAGCTGACTGCTTAATGAGCTACCCCCTCAATAAATTGGGAGCTAAATACATGTAGATCTGTGCCGCAAATTCAATGGAAACTGCAGCGCAAATTAGTGCTGCAGAATTTTCTTTGTCAATCTGGCCCTGTGTGTTTCGAGCAGTAAAGTTTGAGGGGGAATATTAACGACGACAGTGTTTAAAAGCATTGGTCTCTGAATTGCGGTTGAACTAATAAGATACTGTTATTTGTAGTGAGACATTTTCATTCCAGAAACTTTAACGTTACTGCAGATTCCCTCTGTTACGGTCAGAAGGTTTTTCAGTTCATCAACTGCAGCCAGGTTCTGTAGCTCATGTTTTGCTTATCCTCCTCTGACCTGCTGCCCTCTCTGCTCTTCTGTGTTGTGGCTCTGTTCCTATAGGGAGTCTCCCATCATTTGGCCTCACAGGCAGTGTAGCTGCCAGCAGGCATCAGTTGTAATTCAGAAACAATGTCAGAGGCTGGAGAGGTTGTTATTCACTCATAAATGTTGACAGTGTGTCCTGCAGACTGAAGCTCAAACAGGTTGCGTGTTGCTGTGTAAATGCAGAGTGCAGTGACACAAAAAAAACAGCTGTACCACCTCTCTCTCCAGGCAGTTAGTCAGTGATGTCAGAGGTGTGTGAAGACTTTAATCTTAAGTCTTCAAATGCAAAACAGGCTGTATCAAAGCACAGATTCTTATGGGCTGTAAATGTGATTTAATTTTAAGACTCTATCCTCATCTCTTCCAAGTACAAATTAATAATTAGGAAGATATCTAATGTAAAGGAGCTTATTACAAATAATATCACTTTTTCTTTTTTTTTTACTTTTGAATGTGAAATATGGTATATCAGTGTTTACCTCAGTAACGTGTGCAGCCTCTCCTGTTTTCTTACAATCATTGAGCTTTACCTGATAAAATAATCTTATCATTTTCCTACATTCCATCATTCTGTTTTATGATGTTAATATTCTTTCCTTTTTATCCATTATTGAAGGCTACGTAGCTACTGTTGTTTTTGGTTTTTGCTGACGTATCAAATTGAGTATCGAGAATTGTGGAAATATCATTGATTGGTATCGACTACTAGATTTTTGGTATTGTGACATCCCTAATGATGACTATGACTAAACCAACTGCAAAAATAGGATTTCGCAAAAGCAAAGAGACAGAATAAATCAAAGTTTTAGGAATCATATGTAAAATTATAATAAAATGTTTGCTAAAAATAAGATTGTCTAGTATTGTTTTAGAGGAGGAATCCCACACACACACGCCAGTCAGTCCACTAGTAAACCAAGTCCTTCTGACTCACATGACTAATGTGACGTCTGAGCTCGGTGTAGATACTATGTCTTCTGTTTCCCACTCTTCATTTTATTATCTTAATCCAATTGTACTTCCTCCCATCTCACCCGCCTGTCTCACTGCTGTTCTCTGTCCAGGTTGGCTTCTTTCCCAGCGAGTGTGTGGAGCTCATAAATGATAAGGTGCCGCAGTCCATGACCAACTCGGTGCCAAAACCAGGTACTGGTCCTCCTCTTAACCCATTCACAGGAAGTGTGTTGGAAGGAAGTTATCACTGATGGCATTTAATCTCTTAGATGACTCACTGATACAGTCTGGCTGTGTGTGTGTGTGTGACCATTATTTGAAATGCAGTAGATGTTTCTTTTTTTATAGTTCAATACACAGAGCCCTGTTAAAGATCTCCACCTTTTTTTAGACCTGAATTAAGATGATTAGCAGTGTGAAGTGGGCATCAATTCAATATATGAGCATGTTACAGTGAAAGCAAACCCACAATTGTAACACACCAGCCCCTGAAATGACCCAGTAATCATGTTATATTGACTCGGCACTATGCAAATTCACCTCAAATAACTGTGCTAATCTAATCTATTGCTGTCCAGTGCAAACGGATAAGCTCTTTAACACGCTCCCTTGAGTGTCAAACACAGATGTACAACATCTAAACCCTCAATGCAATCAAACAGAGCACTTCACAACATTTGGCTGTTGTGCAGACTAAACTTGAACTTCTGCCTCACTCACTGCAGCTGCCATTGAAATTAGCAGCACACATCATGTTGCTATGGCCAAGCCCTTTTTATCAAACTTCAATGTCTTGTAAAAATCCACGCCACATCGTCCAATCCAGAGCCCGAATGAACCAACATGACTCACCGTCACAACCCTCAGACATTGGGGTGAGCTGAGTCAACCAGTAAAATGAACTCACCAGTGAAATGCATCCAGGATCTGGATTAAGAGATGACACAGCGAAAAAACATATATATATACACACACACACACACACATGCGTGCAGGGTTTCGGGGGGGTTTTGGACATCCATATTATCTGCCATGCCAAGTTTCAACCCCAAGTTTTTGAGCCTTTCAGAGTGTGTGACTGATCAGAAATGCATCTTGCCGTGTACAGTTAACTGTTGCACTACACGCACAATGCACCCCTCTGTCCAAGGCTTGACTAAATCTGCCTGCCCACCCTCCACCCACCCCTGCTCTTAAGCAGTGTCGCTGTCTTTTTGTTGGAGTGTCTTTATTTGTCAATAAAAATCCTATACATTTTCTGAATAGAGATTTCGATCATCAGCAATAACATTGTAGCCATCCAATGTGTCTTACCAAAAACTACGAGATTGTGAGGCTCTGTCAAATGCTCTTTTAGAAGCCACAAGTTTGAAGGAAAACTTAATTTATTTGTGATGTCAAGAAGAAATGCTTCACTACCCTTCACCCCTACTCAGGTGTAATCTCTGATTACAATGGAAATATTTACCACAACCACAAAAACTGTGTAGGCTATAATCGAATGGTTTTGTGTTGCATTATGTTTACCACAAAGCAACCATGATTTCTCTCTCTAAAATGCTGTGGCTTTTTAGAGATGAGGGTTAAAATCACAACAAAAAAAAATGATGGAAAGCACGCTGGAAGTCGTTGGAAAGGGATCATTGGCAATGGTTTATGGGATGTGTTGTTCCTTCACTCTTAAAATAATTAAGAGCAAACCCTTTTTTAAGTTTTCCAATATTTTTTTTGCCCAAATTCAAATGTTTTATGTTCACTGTTCCTCTCGTAGCTGGTCGGCCACGAGTCTGCTTTAAACTCTTTTCCTTTTTTTTAGCATTTTCTGAAACGTCAATGGAGAAATTTTCCTCCACAACCAGAGCCATTCTAAGTCACTGTTTCCCTTTATTGGCAGGTCAAGAGTAACATAAAATAACATCATGAATACAGCTAAAAGTTAGAACTGCACATTTTTGTATATCATCATTATTCATATGTTATCAGCTGTATTCAATCCATTTATCCATGTACACAAGTCAATGCTTATATTTCATATAGTGACAACCTAAGTGCTGTCATCATCCACATTAACATTACAGTAAGATCCTTGTTTTCATTATCAGTGGCAGGATCAAATAACTCAATGCTGTTTAAACCTGCCTGTTTCTGTGTCTGCTTGTGCTCCACTGCCTGAGTGCATCTCTAACACTGTTGTTGTTTCACTGCACAGAGATGTACAGTTGTGTTAGCATGTGTCTTGATTTGTTGCATTTGACTGTGACTCCTCTACCTCAGCCACCCCCTGCTCTGGCCTGCAGCCTGCTTCTTGGAGCCTCTTCCCCCCCTGTGCGTGTTGGTATACACTCTTCATCCACCACGCCCACTCACCCCCACCTCTACTCACGAACACACAAACACCGATCACATTTCTGTACATCTGAGTTTTGATGGTTATAATCCTTATGATTTTAGTCCTGGAAACCGGCTGTAACTGCTGGTAGCGTGGTTAGTTACTGTAGGTCCAAGAATTTAGAGGAAAGCAAACACTCATCGAGCAGTTAATCTGTTATAAACTGAGTAGCAGCTGTTTTATCTGTTTACACTGCAGCCAAACAAAGCTGTGTTGTTTTAACAAAGAAGCACATTGATGACGGGCCATTTTTCCAGGGTACTATGACTGCATCTGTTTTCATGCCGCATACAGTTCAAGTAGAAGTAACTTCCTGAGCTGAGAGACTGGATGTGTTATTTGCTGCATCTTACACCATTGCACCCTCTGACATATTTAAAACAGGCCATAAGGACCTTTGTCTTGTATCAGAAATGGGTTTTTGATGAGCAGTCAGTGTTTGATTTTTCCTGGGACTGCTCTGCCACCCTGTGTTTGACATCTGAAAGCTTTAAATGTGAGCTACTGGTTTGTAGGAAATGTCGGGTTAGCGGTAGCGGTTACTTCTCACAGCTCTGATAGCGTAAAGAATAACTCGAGGAGATAAAATTAGAAACACAGGATTATGTCCTCCATCATACCCTGCCAGTCCCTCATACAGAGGCAATTTGAATTCCATAGTGTGCCGCTAAGATTCCATACTACTATATTTAGAAGATGACAGAATGTAAAAATACTGAATGACTATTGATAAGAAAAATGTACAGCATAAACAGAAAGAAAAGTGGGGTTTTAAAATCCTAAGGATTGTAACTTAAAACTTGTCTGATTTAAAAAGAATTGTTTTACTGATGAGTGTAATGTTTCTATAATTAGGTCTACTTCATTTCCACAATTTGTATGTGTACATTGTCTCACACAGCACTTGATTTGTTCAGCATCAAAGTATCATTTCTATGCAATGCCTCTGACCTCAGTCGCAAAGTGCACAGTTGCTTTTTTCTAACTTAAAGTGCTTCTCTCCCTCTGCTGATTCTCTCATATCTCCATGTCATCCATCCATTCATCTGTCTGTTGGCCCATGCAGACTTGGAGATGGAGAGTGTAATACAGGAGAATGCATGGGTGGCCGACCCGCTAAACCACTACAGCATAAGTTCAGGTAGACAAAAGCCCCCTACGTGTGTTGTACCACCACCCCCTAACCAAAAACTAACTCCACCACCCGAGTGATGTATGTGCACTGTTTGACTCTAATATGACTAGTACAGCTTGATTTATAGCTTTACTCCTCACACAAAACAATCTTTGTTCTATTATATGAAGAGAACCTCTCACAAAGCAAATAAACTGTCTTGTCTGTGACCTTTAACACACTTGTACACATTAACTCTACAACCTTGAAGTAGGCTAATTTTGTTATAGAGCATGTATGACACGCTATGAGAAAAGGTCTTTGTCCTGATTGTGTGTTTTTATGTGTTTCCTTCAATTGCTGTAGAATATCTGATGCAAATGATGGTTTCCTTTAAATTTCTTCAGCAAATCAACATTTTGATTATTTTTTATCACAGTGCTGTGTAATGGCGATATTTCACATTCGTCCAAATCAGTGTCCCTGAGTCCATTTTGTATGACATCTTTTCTTAAATCAAAATGAAAAACTGTATGAAAAAGGTGTCTTTGGATCGGCAGAGGGGTGTAGTGCTTTTTCAAAGCTCGCTTTCAAAACAGCAAGCATATCCCTTCAGCCCCCTGTTCTGTTTCATGTTGTGGCCCCTCAAGGTGGATGCAAATGAGTTCAGGGGTGAGCCAGGTTACTACAGCATTTCTCAAAGCAGCTGAATGTACCCTGTGTCTGGACGAGGGCCAGCTGTGTTTGTGTGTGTCTGTTTGGTTGAAGCCGTAAAGGCCACGGCGGGGGTACCGCTGTGCTAGGTCTCAACCGGCCTTGATTTATTTAATCCTTTTACAATGAGGGGGGCCTGTAAACCCATCCATTGAGCGTTAAGCTTTGTCCTGCAACAGTAAGAATCTCTGTCTCCCTCTCCATGGTGACTGAGAGAGCACATTCCTGCAGTGAGCCACACAGCATTGGAAAAATATTCTTGCCCTGCACAGATTCACTCTGCTTACCACTAACCTTTGCTGCTTCCCAGTAAAACCATGGAAATTGTTAACGTGCTGCAGTGCAAAAGAAAGCAGGAGTGATCAGGCCTTCGATCCACGTTTTTGTGTTGTCTTGGGAACAGAGTGCTACTCTCTGCACAGTAAAAATACTCAGTCCACTTCTTTCCTCTTTAGACAGCCCGGTAGAACTACCAGATACTGACCCAGATGTAATGCCCCCCCACTCCCCGCCTCGGTGCAGGCCTTCGTCATGTCTGGAGACCAGAGATTTGGGCAGCTGTGAGCATATATGAGCCAAGACAGCTGGTTATGTGAAGGAGAGGGGAGAGAATGTGTGAGACAGAGTGAGATTTGTCCTCCTGTTCCCGAGGATCTCCAGTCATTTCCTGGTGCTGTGAAACTATGCAAGGTCCCTTGTGTAACGTGTTGCTCTGGAGCTTCAATAAGAGACTGTTGTTGTAGATCGCACTTGTATTTGGGGCTGTATTTACCTGCCTGCTAAAAACTATGTTATAAACTGAGTTGGTATGTAAAGCACAAAGGTAATGTTTACACCTTTGCTCCCCTCAGAGGCCTATCCACAGTGGCCTCATTATTGCAGTCCATTCCTTCTGTGTGTCTTTATCATATATATATATATATATATATTCATACACACACACACACACACACACACACACACGTGTTATAGCAC